GAACTCTCTTGCAGATTTCAGGAGGCTACCCTTCTGTCCAGCCTTCTCTTCATTATTCTGCTGCACAAAGTTGCACCACCTCAGGACCTCTGAACCCTGATCTCTACCTTCTCAGCTTACAAAAGTGCCACTCAGTAAGACAGCCACTCTCTGATGGGCTGTACCTCTGTACTATAGTCTAGAACATGACCTAGACCGAAGGCCAGTGTGAATGTGGGGACTGACCTTTTGTGTTTCTCTTCTCTTAGGGATCACAGTCTTGCACTGTCTGAGGTGTAATACAGTGCCTAAAAACAATTCCTTCATATATTTTATCCAGTTTTATCATTGTTTATGGTAGAAGGGTAAGCCCATTACTATGTACTCTGTCATGGCCAAAATTACAAGTCCTATTCAGCAATTTTAAGTCATAATTATGAAGATTTTTTTAGCTTTATAGAAAAATGTTTGTGTATATGTATATATACAAATACAGGAAGGGAACTTAAGAACTATTAATCTGTTAGGATATTTAAATGAAAGGAAAGACTTTTTCTCTTGAAAATTTTCTATTATTATTATAATGATAACTGCAATACATATGATTTTGTCATGGAATTAAGGATTATTAATATAATTTTAAGCTGAAACTAATACCCTCCATTTCTTCCTTTTTACCTAAGAATATTTTATTTTTAATTCACCAGTCACCTAATAAATTTGTTAAATTTGTCTTTAAATTTTGTCTTATGATGAGGCTTTTATATACCAACAAGTAACAAAGACAGAAGAGCATTCTATTCATATAGCTTATACTGGGTACTTTAGTTTATATCTGATTATTAAAAATTATAATAGTGGCACCACATTCAGCAGAATTTTCAATAGGCAGGATCCTCAAAAATGTTAGTACCCAAGCTAAATTATTGAGGTCTGTGTATGTGTGTGTGTGTGTCTGTGTTTAACTTTTCCAAACCAAACCAAATACACAATTATTTAGACTGTTAACTGCAATCAACTTAAAGCTGAAGCAAGGAATCATCATTTGATTACACTTTACATATAGAAGGAATAAGAAGTATGGACATATGCACATTCATGAACTGAGGTCATAAGACTTACGACTACCACAAAATTATAAGACAAATTCTACCAGCCATATTGTAAAAATGTATTACTCAAAAATTCTTTTATTTTTGATATTTATTTTTTTAATGTTTTTAATGTTTATTTATATCTGAAGGAGAGAGAGACAGTACATGAGTGGGGAGGAGCAGAGAGAGAGGGAGACACAGAATCCAAAGCAGGCTCTATCCGCACAGAGCCCAACGCGGGGCTTGAACTCACAAACTCATGAGATCATGACCTGAGCCAAAGTCAGATGCCCAACTGACTGAGCCACCCAGGTGCCCCTATTTTTGAGATTTCTTTTTCTCAAATTCAACTTTCCAGGAAAAATGTTAAATGTATTTTGTATTTTCTGCTTAATTCTCTCTCTCTCTCTTTTTAAGTTTGTTTATTTTTGGGAGAGAGACACAGAGAGAGGGAGAGCACACAAGTAGAGCAAAGAAAGAGGGAGATGAATCTCAAGCAGGTTCTGCACTGTCAGTGCAGAGCCTGATGTGGGGCAAGATCATGACCTGAGCCACTATCAGTAGTTGGATGCTTAACCAACTGAGCCACCCAGGTGCCCCAAGGAAATTTTAAAACAGTAATCTCAGTACTGTTATTTGAACACAATTGTTTTTATTCATCCAATATCTTTTTAACTTTATTTAGTTCTGATTATAATACATATACAATTTTGGGATCTGCTGTTTTAACCTCATGTGTCATAAATACTTTTCCATGTTGCTATGTAAACTTTATATTTATAATTTTAAATATCTGGATAATATTCCTTTAAGTTACCATATTTTTTTCATTACCCTGTCACTGAGATTATTTCCAATTTTTTGCTATTATATTTGGTATTGTAGTGAATGTCATTTTATAGGTATTTCTCTGTTCTTTTGAGTTACTTTATTACAATTAAATTCCCAGAAACGCAATTCATAGGTCAAACAGTATGGAACACTTTTTTCCTTTGTTGTTAATGATGGTGGTTGTAATACCTGACTATTTTCAGTTTGTTTGTTATTTGTCTCTATGCTTAAATTCTGTTGTAATTGTATTTATTACTTACAAACCTGAATGGTTCTTATTGCCGTCTGTTGGGTTTTAGTATATGTGAATCAGACTCTTCTAATATAAAGAAATGCCATAAAGCAGCAGGTCTGGAGGAAGTTCTCATAAATACAGTAGAAACATTTTATAGGTTTCTGTGGGGATTTGGTAACTGTACAGTGGAAAATCTGTTCTGCCGGGGCTTAGGGTATAATATTCCCCTCACTTAGCAGTTAAGAAAATGAAGCAACATAAAGAACAGTGTAAGGAAGTTAGAGCAATTTAAGAAATAACTAAATCTATTAAATACTCAGGAAGAAGCAAGTTAAACTAACAGTTTAAAACAAATGCTTAAAGCTAAAGACCATATATACTCTCATTGTCTCAGAGCTTGATTTTTGTTACAGGGAAATGGATTGTTCTATTTTCTTTCTTATATGCTGTAAAAATTCATAGATGAGAAGCTTGTACCCAGCGTTAGTAATCCTATTTTTTCAATAAATGACCTATTGCCTTTAATATCATAACTATCATTTAATAATGCTCTATATGGATTTATATATACAGAAAATAAAGTATAATTACCAGTTCCAAGTTATGTATGTGATTGCTCACATACGTTAAGTCAAAACAAAAATCTGTTCTAATTTCATTCATTGAAGCATGTGAACAAAGCTGCTGAATGATTATTTAGGCTGTGAATGACTGGGTTTTATTTGAAACGACAGTGGTTAAATTTTCATCTTTGGAACTCTGATTTTTTTTGCATTATCATTTACTTTTCTTGAGAATTTCAGTATACCAGTTTTGATCCTACTTAAAGGAAAGCAGTTTCTCACCTTCCAGTGGTGTATTTATAGCCAGGTCACTGGAATATACCCTCTCATATCTGATTGCATAAACATGACTTAAAATAGGACCAAGCTTATCATTCCACCCAAAGTAACTCCTTATTCTGTCTTGGTTACCCCTACTTGATTAATATTCAGTTTTGAGACCTTAGAATCATTCTTGAGTCTGTTGTTCTTCTCCTCGCTGCAGCTAGTTAACCTCTAGGTCACAGCTACAGGTTTTGTCGGTGTCTCTCCCTCTGCTCTGCCTTTCTGTTTGTTGCCACTGCCTTAGTCCCGGGACTTATTATTCCTAGACCACTGAACAGACTTCTCACTGGTCTCCCTTCCACCTCCCCACGTCATTTTCTCTTGTACACTACTAACCTGTTCACACTTAAGATCCTCTGAAATCTGACCATGACCCAGCTGCCAACTTCATCTGCCGTTACCCAAGAGAACCAATCAAAATGGATTTTTTTATTGTTTCCTGTATATACTGTCCATATTCCCAGCTTCATAATGACATGAATAATTGCCCCACCTCCTTTCCCTCTAACCTGGGCTCAAACTCCCCTCCCTCTCAAGCCTTCCTATTTGCCCCAGCTAGCATTAATTGGCTATATTTGCATACAGTAGATGCTAACCAAGTAGACTACCTTGTATTCTCATTTACTTCTGTTAATCTGCCTGCTTCAGGAGAATATAAACCCCGTTATGGCCAAAGATAAGTCTTAAATCTCTCAGTATCCCCCACTGTCTTGGTAGACATTAATAGACTACTTACTTGCCAAGGGGATGGACTTGGATTTGAATTCTGGTTCTGTCACTTAATGGCTATCTTACCTTGATTAAGTTACTAAATTTCTCTCTCCTCTTATGAGAAATGAGCATGATTATAACCCCCTCATAGGGTTTTTGAAAGAATTAAGTAAGACATATATGTATGTAATGTGCTTACTAGCACAATGCTTAGCACATAATAAATAATAGTAGCTTATCAGTATAATAATTATGACCAGGCTAAGTGCTCAGTTAATGTTTATCAGCCACCATTATGACGCGTGTCAAAATGTTGATATTTTGCCCCTTTACAATCAATGAGGTAGCTACAAATATCATATGATATTAATGTTAATTTTTCTTACAATTATCAATAAGCTACATGGAACTTGAATTTTAGATATGTAGTTTCTTTGTTGTTTAGAAAAACGGTTTATTCCTGAAAATTACATCACTCATTCATAGCCTTACCAATTGAGAAAAAGGCATTGCAAACTTTGTAAAAACCAAACAAAAAAACAAAAACAAAAAAACCCAAAAAAAACCAAAAAACTCACCTTTTGTGTATAAAGATGTTGCTTCTATTCCATGAAAACATTTTAGCAGCGGAAAATATCTTCTCATATAGGAAGTATAAATTCTGAAACTGAAAGTACTTATAGAAAGTACAAGATCTTGAAAAGCTGACCTTCTTATATACTATGTGAATTATTCTATCATGTAAATGTAAAAGAATCCATTTACAGAAATTAAGGCAACTAATAAAAATATAAAATTACTTAAAAGACTGAAGGTAAGTGCAAAATATTTTAAAACTTATAACTCTTTGACAGTGAAGTATTAGAATACAATTATTATGAAAGAGATTTTAAAACTGTTAAAGAATGCCATATTCATAAACAAAAGGGCAAATAAATTTAGCCTTAGAGTAAAATAGAGCAAACCATACTAGTACTCAAATAATCATGCACCATAGTGCTCCTGGGACATTACTTCGCAGTCATTTCCAAAAGGTGGCTGGGGCTTGCAACACAGCCAGATTTAAACAGAAGAGCTATAGGAGTTCCAGGATTGTACCAGCACTATCAGAAGAAACATCTGACACAAAATATATTCATTCAACACAGAATTAGTTTGTATCATTTGTCTTTGACTCTGCTAGAATGAAAGATGTATCCTTTGTCACTCTCTTTCTGATTTCAATTATAAAGCAGGTTTTACAACCTTTTCATTTTTTGGTAGGGATCACATGCAGTGGTCAAAAGAAGAAGAAGCAGCAGCCAGAAAAAGAGTAGAGGAAAACTCAGCTGTGCGAGTCCTTCTGGAAGAACAAGGTAGGCAACTACATGTAGTAGCTTCTGGAGCCTGGTTTTTCTCTTTGACCTTCCGCTGATTCAGTTCACATGTTAGTCTGTTTTCCTCCTGTGTCATTACTTTGGAGAGTTCTTAGCTTTTACCTACGCCAATCCACTTGTCCATTTGGGAGAATTCCATTATTCTAGTGTAGTGGGACAAAGTTAGTGAAATAAATTATGTATTGACTCTTTACTTGCTTTTTTGGTAATCATAGTATTACATTTTTCTGAGAGATACACACAAGGAAATTTTGAAATTTCCCTCTTGCTATGCATCTTTTATTTATTTAGTTAGTTGTTTTTGTTGTTTATTTATTTATTTTGAGAGAGAGTCAGAGCTCACAAGCTGGGGAGAAGCAGAGAGAGAGGGAGAGAGAGAATCCTAAGCAGGCTCCATGCTGTCAGTGCAGAGCCAGACCCAGGGCTTGATCTCACGAACCGTGAGATCATGACCTGAGCCAAAATCAAGAGCCAGATGCTTAACTGACTGTGCTACCCAGGTGCCTCACTATGCATCTTTTAGTATGCTGTTGTGCATTTTACTGGCCAGGAATATTTAATAAATTCAGAAACTTTGAGCAAAAAAGGTAAAGTCGTATTAAAAAGTTGTGACCTTTTAGGCTAAACATCAAGGTACTTTTCTTGGAGGCCTTTTGATATTCGGAGTTTAATTGAGGTAAGACCTTGCCAACCTTCGAATCTGGCTTCTAATAAAATTGGCTAATGCTACTGTTACAAAAACAGAAAATAACAAGCATTGGTAAGGATGTGGAGAAATGGAACCCTTATGCACTGTGCAATTGGTGAAACTGTAAAATGGTGCCGCCTCTATGGAAAACAGTATAGAAGTTCTTTAGAAAGTTAAAAATGGAAGTACCATATGACCTAGCAATCCCACCTCTAGATATATAGCCAAAAATTGAAAACAGGGTTTTGAAGGTATATTCACACATCCATGTTCATAGCAACACTAGTCACAATAGGCAAACGGTAGAAGCAATCCACATGTCCCTCGACGGATAAATGGATAAACAAAATGTGGTATACACACAAGAGGATATTACTCAGCCTCGGAAAGGAAGAAAATCCCACCACATGCTACAACATGGATGAACCTTGAGAATATTATGCTAAGTGAAATAAGTCAGTCACAAAAAAGGCAAATACTATATAATTCCACTTATATGAGATACCTTAAGTAGTCAAATTCATAGAAACGAAAAGTAGAATGGTGGTTACCAGGGGCTGGGGGGAGGAGGAAACACAGAGTTGTTGTTTTAAAACATACAGAGTTTCAGATTTGCAAGATGAAAAAGTTCTGAACCTCTGTTTCACAACAAAGTGAATATACTTAACACTGCTGGACTGTACACTAAAAAATTGTTAAGATGATAAATTTTATGTGATGTGTTTTTTACCACATTTTTTTTAAAGCACACTAGAAAAAACTTGGTCTGTGTCATTCTCACTTCATAGCTAGGAACCCATATACACTTTGACCCAACCCATGTACTCTCGAGATAAGACTTTCTACCTTGTTTTTCCTAAAGTGATTTCTCCTTTCAAACAGGTTCGTTCTTTCTTTAAAAAAAAAAAAAGTTGTTTGAAGTACCAAATACATAGAGAAATTTTCACAACTCTTAAATGAATTGTCCCAAAGCTCATTGGATTTCACCAATATCCACGTCAAGAAACAGATTATTACCATTAACCCCAGAACTTCCTCATTTTCTGAACGAATAATAATACTTTTCCAACCCCTCCGACTCCACAAAGAGCAACCACTATTCTGGCTTCTAATACCCTAGATTAATTTTGCCAGAACAGCTTGGTTTTGGTCATGATGATTTCTCAATCATTCTTGTAGCAGTATCAGAGTACCTGTTAGATGGAGCAAGTGTCAGCAGACTATGGCCAGGGGCAAATCCAGTGTACTGCCGGTTTTTATAAATAAAGCTTTATTGGAACACAGACATAATCATTTATTTACATATTGCCTATGGCTGCTTTTGAGATATATATACAGAGCTGAATAGTTGTAATAGAGACTGTACACAGCCCACAAAGACTACTTACTGTCCGACCCTTTACAGAAAAGTTTGCCAACTCCTGAGATAGAATTTGGTTTCCAGATCAATCCTATGTTCTGAAACCCCCCAGGGAAAGATGTTTTAATTCCTCTGTGCAAGCCAAACATAGTGAAAATCACTAATCTCACCAATAGTCAACTATTATTCTAGTGACTTTAGTATACAATTGTAGCTAAGGTTTGAAAACCGAGCTAATGAGACAGCTTTTAACCAGTGAAGGGGGCATTTCTTCCGTATCTTATTCTCTGCCACCATTAATGACTTACTTTATCCTCTGGCACTGTTTGGTACTCCTTAGAGCTAGTTCTCCTTCCTTATCTTAAGCATGAATATGTCCTGGAGGGTGGGCAGGATAGAAGAGCACCTGATCCACGATGGAACCATTCTATTTTTATGAGCTCCAGCCATGCAGTCCCAGAGTGGGATATAGCCAGGGAGTGTTGGGGCTGGATTTGAGGGTGCATACCAGTGGCAGTTCTGCTTACAAATCAGCCAACATTGCATTCCTTTGCAGGAACTCTGTCACACTGTTTCTGAGGAAGTATAATTTTGCTTCTTTGCCAGCAGCTGCACAGACATATTTTCCACATTACTCAAGCTTCTGCTAGTGGCCACCTGGATGTGACAGAGAGAGTCAAGCCTAAACAGAATTAAAAGTTATCAGTCATCTTAATTCGTTTCCAGGAAGTTAAAAATTATCTACAGTATATTTCCTGATATGAAAAACCAAGAATTTTTTTCATGCTCTCTTGAATATTTGTTTAGGACATAAATAGATGAGCAGTGCTGATAATGTTCCCTTAAAGTGCTCGGTACTGAGGCTGCCTATTTTGGCCTATTTATGTTAACAATGAACTTGAGTGAAGCTAATGAGAAGGTTATTTTAGGGCTTGGAAACCGCAGTAAAGGAAAATGACAGTTCCCACAGAACCATAGTGTGACTGAAATAGAAAGGTGGTGACTGGCCTCTCTCTACAGAAGCAGGAAAAGCAGGCTGGAGAGGACTGATGATACTGCTTTGAAGCATTTGGCTTGCTTATTAGCACATACAGTCTCTTTCTGAGCAAGTTTTCTGGCTGCTGTGGAGACCCAGAACTAAAGACTCCATTTTAAAATGACTCAAAATGGGGAGCCTGGGGAGCTCATTCGGTTAAGCCTCTGACTCTTGATTTCGGCTCAGGTCGTGATCTCATAGTTCATGGGTTCAAACCCCGTGCTGGGCTCCATGCTGACATCACAGAGCCTGCTTGGGTTTCTCTCTCTCCCTCTCTCTCTCTCTCTCTCTGCCCCTCCCCCACTTGTGCTGTCTCTGTCTCTCTCAAAATAAGTAAACTTAAAATTTTGTTTTAAGTAATAAAAGTAAAATGAAATAAAATGACTCAAAGTGATTGAGGTTTCCCCACCCTGGAATAGAACATGGTGCGGTGGACTGCATACATGTCAGGGCATTGCCACAAGGAGGGGACCACACAGGGAGAGTGGCTATTTATGCCATTTAAGCAAGATTGCATAGAGCAGCAATTGGGGCTGCTGTGGGGATGGCAAAGAAAGAGAACTTCTGTTCTGAGGAGCTATGTTCAGTGACAAGACATTACAGTGAGACTAAATACCTTCTCAGCCACCCAGCCAGTCTCTGCCAGGTCCTGCTAGGCTGTGGAAGTCCGGGGGGGAAGCTTCTAATTTGATATCTAGTGTCTCTGATGAATACAGGTCAAGGTGGATGGATCCATTTAAAAGCTCTGCTCGTAAACTTTGTAAAAACCCAAAGGAGGCTCTGACCCGGTTCTTATTCTGGTGCTTCTGTTAACCACCATCTCTTCTTTTCCAGGAGAGCCCTACGTCTCTGAAAGAGCCTGTTTTCTCCCATCACAGAGGATTCCGTTGGCAGATCATTATATAGCATAAGGACTATTTATTGATCTTATCTCACTTATTTTAATGTCCCTGGGAGGAAATACTCCTTGTTCTGCCATGCTGGCCTACTCTCTAGCACACTTCTTTTGGTCTTGTGTGTGTCACTCCCTCCTGTCACTCCCATTTCTCATTTCTCACCTATTGTCTCAGATGTTGTGAGAACTGAAGTCAGGAAACACCCTCACAGTTCTGAAAATAGGAACTTAAGCATCACAAATAGTGTAGTTTTTTGCTGAGAGATGGTTGACATTTCATGTCTGTGATTAAAGTGTATAACATCCAAGCTCTCATTAGCAATATTTCTTCCACTTAGGTGCCCAGATTAATAGTTTTAATTCCACGTTTCCTTTTGGTAATTTATTTTAAATATTACAATAGCTCATATTTCTTTTAAAAGCAGATTAATTCAGAGAAATAAGAAAAACACATTTGGCAGTTTTTGAGTTAACATGTTTATATTTTATAATTTCCTAAAAACATCTCCAGTGTGTTATATCTTAGCTGATCATTTAGCAAAGGTAATGGGCTTTTAAAACTTAATAACGAAAGCAGCTGCTATTTTTACTTTAAAATATACTTTCAAATAACTACCTATCTAGGGTGAGTTATCTATGTTAAACAAAATAGTAAAAGAATAAGTTTACCACTTGTGAATACCTTTACCACTTGAAAGTGTCCTGTGTGAAAAAAAAGAGTAGCTAAAAGTTTCATGTGCTGATAAATTTAGGTACTTTTTTTTTAAATGTCTATTTATAGTTGAGAGAGAGAGAGAGAGAGAGAGAGAGAGAGAGAGAGAGAGAGAGAGAGAGCGCCAGCTGGGGAAGGGCAGAGAAAGAAGGAGACATAGAATCCAAAGCAGGCTCCATGCTCTGAGCTGTCAGCACAGAGCCCGATGTGGGGCTTGAACTCACAGACTGTGAGATCATGACCTCAGCTGAAGTCAGATGCTTAACCGACTGAGCCACCCAGGTGCCC